ATACTTTCTCTCTCTCTCTCTCTCTCTCTCTCTCTCTCTCTCTCTCTCTCTAATAAACTGCGCGGCGAAAAGGTACGTGTATTAGGTACATACGTAAGTATGAGTACGTCGAGGGCACCGTGCGGTGCGCGCGAAGCTTCATCGTCGGCCGTCGTCGAAACACAAAAACTAATTAAAAAAAAAGTCAACTCAACGTGTTGTCGCGGATAACAAGGGATACAAACAACGTTCCTTTAATTTTTTCGTTTTTTCCGTTCGCAAAACAAAAACGACATGCGCATACACATATATATATATATATATATCTATATAGAGGTAACGATCGGAGAAACAACAACGCCAAATCAGTTTCTCCGGGAAAAAACAGGTAATAGCCGAAAAAAGGCGACAGAAACGCGGGGAACCGGCGTGAAGTACGAACCTATGGTTCGCACGGAACAATGATCATTTCACTTTTCCTTTTTTTCTCTCCGTAACACGTTCGCTACCATTCGTTTCGGTAATCTTCCCAGTCCCAATACCCAACGAAGTCCAACAAATCTCATAAATAAACTATTCCAAAACTGAAACCAAAAGAGAGTTATCGAGTTCTTAAACATAAAGTCGTATCCTCTACCCTTAAATAACAATACCGATACCGTCCGTTTCGTTAACTATTCTCTCAGTTGCAATACTCCAATAAATAAAACATTCAAAGAGAACTGAACCCCATAAAAATAATCGAATTCCCAAATACAACATCGTACATCTTCCAATAACAATATACTTCAATCTTCCAAATAAAATATCGAAAAGAATCAAGCTAGAAGCTTAATCGCTAAACTCCTAAATGCAACGTCTTACAATTTTAAGTAACAATATTCGCGCAATTTCATATTCCTTCGCGAATGGACGCGCAACCGTGGCAGCCACAGGTATGCGACGTCGGGTAGCGAACGTGTCGATCGCGTCCCGACGGATCGACCGTCGGCGAGACGCGAGACGGCCGTCGAACGAGCCGCTGGCGGCGAATTCGGGCCGCGGGGACTGGCCCCCGGCAAATTCGTTCGATATAAGACACTGTACAGAAGTAGGGGGAAGAAGAAGCTACCGACCACCAGAGGATCGCGGCGAAAGCGGTAAAAATACAAAAAGAAAAGGGGAGTGCACACGGCGAGGGAAAGAAGGAGATGGCGGGGGCTCGACGTTCATGACTCGTGTCTTCCTCTCCTCTCCGGGTTAGTTGACCATCTTCTCCCGCTTCAGGGAGCCGAAGTCCTCCAGCATCGCCTGCAGCCCTTCGGGAACTCGTCCGGCGTCCAATTCCTGTCCCCACTGTCGATACTGGAAAAGGAAGAGCAACGGATCCCGGTTACACGGCTTTCGAGCAGAGAGGCTGCGATGTAATCCGATTACGCGTCAACGATCTACCGCGAGCCTATCGTCGCCGACTGCCATGTCATCATTATTTATGTAAAATGTTCATTCTCTAGGTGTCGGACCAACGGAATTTCGTAACATCGCCAGTGACGCGTAACAGGATTACATTTCCCGCCTTGCTTCCAGGTGACAATCTACAGGTTATACCTGGGGGAATCCAGGAAATAGGTCCGGGACACGGCGCGGAGTGGCCGGCGGCAGTTGAAGGGCTTCGGGTTCTTCCGGCTCTTGAAATGGAACGGGATCGGGGACCGCAAACACGGACAGACGTTCCTCGATAATACCGTTGAGCGGACGGTGGTAACGAGTTCAAAGCGAGCCGGTGTTATTTTAAATTTTATTTGTTACACGGCTCCGCCGGCTGACGGATAACCGCGACCCGCCGCCGGCAGCTTTGAAGTGTTTGCTCGGTTTGAGTTTTTAATGCCCGGCTCGCGGGGAATCGAAGCCAAACACCGGGGGAAACCGGGATCACCGCGGTCGGGTCGCGGGAACGAATTTCGCGAGCGAGCGAGCGAGCGGGTGTTCCGCTGCGACGGAATCTGCGGCTGGAAAAACGAAGGGATTTTCCATGGGAAAATAAAAATCGAAAGGGAACAGAGTGTTTTTCTCTCTGCCGCGTGCCGGGGCTCGTTTTTCGGATTGCTTTTGATTACTTTGACAGGAGGCTGATGAAGCATCCGACTCGCGTATTCGGCTTTGTTGAACGTTTCTACTTTTGGTTGCGTCGGGTGAAATTCGATTCGTTGAACGGCGAAGAATGGCGTGTAACTGGATTCGTTGGTAACGAAACGGATTTTATTGTGGGCTTCGTGAAAAAGTTACGGAAGATGGAACGAATCTTAAAAGATATCAATAAATGCGAAACAGAAAAACTGAAACCAGTCATTTTGACTGTTACGGTAGTTGTAGTGTTATAGAAAAGTTTGAAGAAGTAAATTGCCGTGTTCGGTAGTTCTAGTGTTGAGCTATTAGAAGGTAGCCTATACAAAATAAAAATCTCAATAAACACTCGTACTCCAGTCGCAAATATTTACTGCAACACGACGCAATATGTGTACCATAACATGATAGAGACCGGTAATATGTAATATCATACCGCAACCCGTGTTTATTGCGAGTAGAACAGGCGAACCGTGATCAAAGACAGTAATAAGTTATGTCCAAAAGCACGTGCGTTCTATAAAGTATCAAATTCTCGTTCGCGGAGGACGCGGCGCCATAGGAAAATTCCTACCGTAACCAGTCAAATAACTGGTTGTAAAATATACATAAATAAGTGGAACGATGAATTCTTCATAGTAGGAACAGAAATAAACGATAACAATTCGGAAACTGATCATTCAATTAATAAACAGTTAAATGAACCGAAGAAAACGCAGAATTTTAAATCATATCGTCTATATAATCGATGAAAAATCGACTTAAACCGTCATTAAATAATGTTTAAACAATTCAAAATCCGTCAAATTCACAGGTTCTTTGGATCTAGTATTAAAATCTTCTCTTTACGTTAACACAAAGAATCGTGTCTCGCGTTGGGCACGAGAACCCGCAAGAAAAGCATTTGTCCCGCGCCATCGAGACACCGCGTGCACGGAACAAAATGGCGGCCAGAGGGCTGCCGATAATTCCGAGGAAGACATTAATACGGCCCTCCATAAATCACCGTTAGGAGCGACGACGACGACGTTTAAAAGGTCGCCGCGAAATTTGCACCGGTGACAGGATAAACGCGATGCAATCGTAAGGGTGAAAAATGGCGGGCGGAAGTTACACGATTTTCCACTACATTCGCGGGCCGCGGCGCGTCTTCCAGCGTGTCCTAGGTGCCAGAGCTAATTCCGGAAAACTTCGGGCCGCGCGAACCGGCGGAAGGACGGCGGGAGGGAAAAAAGGATAGAGGGAAATAGTAAAACGCGGCTGGTTTACGATTCCCTGGGAAAAACTTCGCGTTCGGTCCCCGGGTTCCCCCGCTGCCCCGCGTTTGGAATTTACGATATTAACGCGGAGAAAATAGCAGACGGAACGCTACCATTCCGCTGGAAACTGTAACTCTCCTCCGGGACCGTGGAGGAAGAAGGCGGCGCGGTTATTTAATCGGGAACATGCGGGACAAATAGAATGTCTGGCCCGGCGAGCGGGCCGAGGTGCAATGGCCGAATTCCAGCTCGCGTGGAGCGTTCTGGAGGCGGGATTCTAACGATTGCAAAGATAAGGATTAGACGATCAGGGACACGGTTTTCTTATTGCCGAATCATTCGAGAGCAATCGATACTTCGGGATCTTTCGGTTTTCTAAACGGGGAATCTTACCTTGAGTAGAAATTAGGAAATCGTTGTATTTCAGTTGTGACGAAAGAGATCACATTAACCCTTTGCACTCGGGAGCTTTCTACTAGAAAATGCGACGATTTCCAATAAGACAGACGCTATTTTCATAAACAAAGCTATTTCATAAAAATATTCCACAGGTTGATGCATTATACGAAACTTAATACGATAACACTTTGTGACTTTATTATATCGAATAAAATGACTGAGAGTCACCACTCGAGTGCAAAGGGTTAACTATTGGTAGTTATTTATAAACTACTTAATTTTACCTACTATATGCCACTATAGCTTTCGTGAATATCGTATGAACGATACACCAGCAGCTTCATTCATTCTTTCAATCATCGATGCACATTATAGTGCTCACATCTGATATAAGTACACAGTGACAAATTAGAGGTATAGGTTCGCGACTAGTCTCGTAGAAAAGTTCAGCGCTCCGAAAGCCAAGAAGCAAATTTCCCAATAGCCATGGGAACAGCGACCGTGGATTAAGAAATTCTTTAAAACGTAACAATTTCCGCGAAGAGCGAGCCGAGTAAAGGGCAGGATGCGATCGTGCGAGGAATGAAGAAGAAGGAGCCGCCGTGGAAAATGGCGGGAGACGTGGGATAAAGGAGACATAAGAATTTCCAAACGTGACTCACCATCTCCAGCTCCTTCCTGAGAGCGAGCACTGCTTTCTCGCGGTCGGCCACCAACTCTTCCAGGTATTGATACCTCAGCTTCTTCCGAGCGCGACACTCCCTCGCACTCTGCCGACTTCGCTCTGCGAAAATAAACGTGGCAACGCGTGCGAGTGAGAGGGCTGAGAGAGTTTCCATTAAGAACATCTCGCGCGGTTGATCGTGCGCGCACTGGCCCCCGCCGCCGTTCTAATTTCGTGCCACCGATGGCACGTACACCAAGACGTACGAGCATTTGAATTTTAAATTTCTCAGCGTTTCATTATGCCCCGACTCCACTTCACGTTATGCGGAATATTTATTATTCTAATCCCACGCTTCTTATAACGGTGAAACGTAGAAGCTGCGTGCACGGATCTGCCCTTTCTTGGATACGAGTTTCGTTGGACTTTAATAAACTCGGTACGCGTCTGATGAGTGCGCTTCTCTTAAATTCAATTTTTAAATGCATGTGCACTCGATAGATCGATTGTTTAGACGATAATACGGTTGAGTCGAATTTTGATGTCTGATTTTTTCAATTTTAAGGGAATACGTAATATATTGTTGCAGAGATTATTCTAAGAAATTAATTTAGAAATCTGAACGGATGTAGCCTTAGTTTTCACAGGGAAAATTTATAAAGTCGACTCGGTCGTGTTAATGACATGCACTTTTGCAGGAAGTAACTTTTTGGCACTTTATTAGATGTGCAGTTGGCGATGCACGCGCGTGCGCTGTTTTTAAAAGGAATTTTGTTGGATTTTAATAAACCCAGTATGCATTTGATGCTACATATACTTTGCATGGTAATTCTACCTGCAAAACGTGTGAATGTGCATTAGGTGCATAACGACGTGCACTTGTGCAGTGAGGAAATCTGTAGCATTTTATTAGAATTGTATTTTATATATCGATGCTTGATAGTTCCGTTTCAATTGTACGTTCACAACGATTGTTTACTGCAGTCGCGCAGGCATTTTTTAATACAGAACTCTACTGTCTGCTCTAAAATTCAATTTCAAGCAGAGAATCTGATTCACGGCGTCGTACGCGTCAACGGGAATTTTATGGACCCTTACGGTTTTTATATCTGATACAAACTACGAATTCTAATAAAATCCACAATCGCAGAGACGATTGTGCTATGACCTCCAATCATAGAAATATTCTCGCATTACTCTTTCCCGCTCGCAGAAGCGTTTTCCATTTTCCACCGTCAATCATTAAACGGTCGCAAAGATCATATAAAACAGAGCAACTTCGAAGTCATTTTTATTATCGCAAGTTTCGCAGCATATTTGTTGCTTCGTGCCACCACACTGGATAACAAGGACATTTCTTTCAAACACCGAAGAGTTAACACTAGGTTTACGGGCGGTTATTGTACAGTTTATTCTATCGTTCCTGGGGAAGTTTATATTCGTCCATTTAGATTTTAAAATTGTAGATGTAGAAATAGACAATCAGGATTCACATTCGTGTAACTGGATCAACGAAAACCGATTGAAACATTTACCAAATAACGTTTATACAATTCAATCTGCGTCACATTGGCGCGTTCCGTAAACCTAGCGTTAAGAATGAACCTGTTTAACGATGAAATCTTTAAAAATTGATACATTGGAGTGAATCGATTAAGCAGATTGTATGCGACGCGTGGTCGCGAACGTGTCAAGAAGAATTCCTGCCAGCTACAACATAGAAACGTAAGTGAAACAGAACAAGAGGCCGTCACGCGAGTCTCTCCTACTGAATTTTTCAAGCGGAGTCGAATCGCAACGGGCCAAGAGTCAATAACGCGGACTTAATAATTCAAAAGTGGACCCTGGCGTCGCGCGATAAGTAGAATGGGAAATACGGGTGAAACTGGAGAGCATTTTTCCGGGGCCGGATCCTCGCAGGCCGCGCGAAACGCAAATAACGCGGCGCGGTTCTCGACGTCAAACCGGCGGGGTCGCAAGAAATACGACGGGCGTAGTGCGCGGCTGTAAAAATTCACCGGTTAATGATACCCGGAAACCCGGCAGAGCCACCCGAACGGCCATTTCCTGGACAAAACTCGATAATTAACCCTTTGCACTCGACAGTTTTTCTTTAGGAACATGCAACGTTTTTCAGGGAGATATAAACTATCAGAGAGATTGATACAGATATCTTCAGAGAGATATAATGTTCAAACTGACAAATGAGGAAACGTATGTAAATTAAGAAAGTCGGATATTTTATATGAATATTTCACATATCGATGGATTATATGGAGGATAATGTTATACATAAGACGGTAGTTTTTGATACATCGAATCTAGTGGTGATTTTCGAGCTTAAAAAGTTAGAAAGAATGAGCGATAGAAACAAATGTTTTAAATAAAACTTGTAAGATATAGAGCTAAGCATATGGTGGTTATTCTTGTTTACGATATTATCAAGTACTTTGAATGACAATGGATATTTTGCACTTCGATTCCAATGCTGTGTAAATAGAGAAACAGAATATATTTGAAAATTTGTATTTTTGAAATAAGATTCATTTTGTATGGCAAGGACTACTTAGCAACAATGCTCGCAGAAGTATTCAGCAAAACTCAGTTTGCCCGAGACATCGCCGAGAGGATGAATTTTTAGATCCGCTCAAGAAATTGTTAACCTGTCACAGTTTCAAAGAGATACGTAATATTCAGGAATGTTGAACAGCGCAAATGTGATTAAATACTTACGCGCAACGCTGCATAAATTCTTGTTTGAGATAGAAAACAAACGAGCGCAACAACGCCGCGTATTTCTGCGACGAGGCGGGCCAACTTCGTCGAAGTTCGCGCGCGACTTCGCCCGGAGGCATTGAAACGAGCTTTAGAAATGATTGTTGCTCTTTTTATCGCGGAAACGAACGACGGTAATTTAATGCGACGCTCGTGAAATGAATACACAAACCGAGCCACAGATGGTACTGAACAGATAGGTCGTAATTCTGCGCGGGAATAAAAATTTTTAACGGGAGCAGGATTTATTCCCGTCGAGATGAGTTTTGACGGGTATTTAGTGGGGACGCTCGCTCGTTCCCGTGTATGATTATCAATGATTGTTCTCGTTTGCATTAATCTACCTTCGCGTTTGAAAATACATGATCGGTTTCCAGGGAAATGATCACTCACCGCTTGATCTGATATAACGAAATTATAAAATCCTATGTACGATATTAAATTTAGTAAATACATCACTACGTCGAATATCGAAACAATAAGAAAGTTCTTTCGTTCAGTTCCCTTAACCTTTAATAAAAGTCCTTTTAACTTACGATGTTCTCTCATTACTTAGTTTCAAATATCTAGCAAAAAACTTTCGACTACAAAAGCCAAGGGTTGAAGACACCTAGAAAAAACGTTGCACTGCACTCTCATTTCATTTTCGAAACCACGATCAACATTCGAAATCTCTCAGTTAAAAAACCAACGTTCCGAATCATAAATCTCAATTGTTCCCTCGGTAAAGAGCAGTTAACTTTTGGTATCGCGAACGCAGTGCCCAATAATCAACCGAGCAATTAAACAACCGGTTCATTAACTAAAATTACGGGGCCGGCCCGTCGGCGGGACGCACCGGAAATTGTTCGATACCGAAAAAAACGAGCCTCGGTAAATATTCACGGGCCCGTCCGCCGGAACTCCCATAAATTCCCGCGCGAAAATTACAAAAAACGAAGCCGAGGGGCAAATGCGAACGGCCATATTGGGCGCGGAGTAACACTATCGGGCGATAAATTCGCGTAACTCAAAATGTGACGCGCGATTTTTCACCGGCGGCCGAGTGAACGGTGAGTGCACGGATCCTGACGAATGGGGGCGGGTGTCATTGGTACGCCGGAAGACGCGCGACGGGGTGAAATCGATGATTTTCCTTCGAAGTTTCCGGCCGCGAGCCGTGTCCATTAACGCGTCCACTACCGAATCGATATTCATCGGTATCCCGTACAGTTGAAACTAGTTTCTTACACCCTGTGTCGGCAATCGAAATGTCGGAATCCATAGGAATTTCATTATTATGACATTCTTACATGAATCGTTTATTCTCGAAGCTAAAATCGACGTGACAGTGTCGAGAAAATATAAATTGAAAGCAATATCGGCTAATTTTAACTAGAACGAAACGAAATTCTGTAGAAGAAAGTCTTCTGTCCTTTTGACAATATAATAGACAATATTAATGGAATAGACGCTAAAAAGGTTTTTAATGATTAGTCTCTTAATCTTCTCATAGAATCAAAATGTACTACTAGATCAAACTTCCATATTTAGCACACTAAATTGCAAACCAACGATTTAACTACTGAAACAGCAAGAAATCAGTACACAGTTTCCTTCTTCTCTATTAATTAGGCATTCAGTATCTAATTTTGGCGCACTTTAAACAATCATCTCAAAGGGTTGAAATGTCAGGAAAAGCTAGAAGTTTCTACTATTCCATCGAAACATGAAATCATTCTCAAAGAACATCTTTCACATTTTCCTCTGATTCCTCTTTCTTCCCATTTCTCTCCCCTATCTTCGCTCGTTTCTTTCGTTTCTCAGTTTCTCCTCTTAATTTGACTACCAGATCGACATTTCCTCCGAATGCAAACGACTCACACCCAGAATCTCCGAAAAAGATGGACGATAGTATTCCCGGCTATGAAAGCCTGAAACAAAATCGATGATAATAACCCGCCGCGGCAGTATATCGCGTATCCCAGCTCGGCACGGGACCGCGGCGCGATAAAGCCCTTTACGATCAAGTGTCGCGGTTATTATCGCGTCTACGGCTCACTAAGCCTGCCTTTTACGCGCCAATAAACGTTCCTATCCGTCGCGGACCTTCTTTCCCGGGAAGCAGCGTGGTAGACGGCTTCCGACGCTTCGCGTGATCCTCCGGCCGGATAGAGTATCGGCAGACCGAGGATGTTTACCGAGATTCTCATTTTTATACGTGGGAGATGACTGATGCTGTTTAGATCTTGGCCACGGAATTACTTGAAGGATGCAGATGATTTTAGATCTTGTGTAAATACTCTTAGATGTTTCGATTCGAACTTAGAAGTTGGAACCTAGTAGTCCTAATTACGTCAAATATAAACACTCCGAAATATTTCTCGACATCAATTATTCAATTCATTAACCTACTAGGATTCGAACAGTAGTAGTCCTAATTACGTCAAATATAAACACTCCGAAATATTTCTCGTCACTGTTCACTTTTTAGCGATCGCATCGAAGCAAAGTGATACGTATCACCGACGTCCTTCCACTCCAATGAATGCAGACGTAAGTGAAATGTTAATCTCAAACTTAAACACGAGATCTATTAACCCAGCTGAATCCATACGGAATACTCAAGAATCATCGAAAAGGAATATTACATCGTCTAGCTCAGCAAACGCGCGAGAGACAATCCACTATCGGCGCAAGTGAAATCGCATCGAAAGCTGCGGAAAAGGAAGAAAGCTCGAGTCAAGTAACATCCACGCCGGCGTGGACCGCAAGCTTGACGGAATCACAGCGCGACACCAGTCTTCAATCCCTTCACAGCTAACATCCTTAGGGGATGAATTTGCAACTCCATTCGCAGCTAATCTGCGTCGTCCGCGCGGGGCCGAGGAATTGCGCCGGGCTTAAACAAAGTCTGTCCGCTCGTGGAAAAACGAAACCGCGGCGGTCCCGGCGGGATCCCGTCCGTCCGTCCGCGCGAATGAAATTACGAGGAAATTGGATTTACGACTCTTACACGCCGGTCCGGGAAACAGATCGATCGGGCGCAACAGCAGAAATTGCGACCGACAAGATACGAGGAGAAGTTGGGAGCGGCGGCTCGAGTTGCCGATGAACGGCCACCGGGCGTATACACCGTCGCTCAATGGGGAAATATCGATGTTACTGTGGCCGGAAATCGATTTTTCAAATTTAATGGAATTACATGATTTGTTTGATTAAGCAACGTCTACTAATATGGGAAATGAATGTACAGTGCAATTACGTGCAATCGATGACGCAATGAATTGCTATAATGGCATTTTAACCCTTCGCACTCGCCAGTTTGCCGCTAGAAATATTTTAACGTTTGATAGTGAGACGATACATCGAGGAACAAAGCTTTCAATTTCAATATTTCTCAAATTGATGCGTTATACGTGGTATATTAACCTTTGCACTCGACTCCCAGGCACCAATTGATTCGATATAACAAAATTACAGAGTGTTATATATAATATTAAGTTTCGTATAATGCATCAATATGTGAAATACCTAAAATAGCTTTGTCTTCTAATTTACGTATGTTTTCGAATTAGTTCGTTTCAAGTAATCGTCCACGTCTTATAGGAAAGTGTCAAATGTTTCTAGTGAAAAGCTTCCGAGTGCAAAGAATTAAATATCAAACTTTATAGTTTTACTGTAAGAAATCAAGCGGTGAGTCAGCCCTCAACTGCAAAGGGTTTCCATATTAAATTTCAATTCACCGTTCAAAAAGACGATGTACACGAGAGCCACTGCAATGACGTACAGTAGCTGAAAGGTTAATTGTTACGAGTAATCACCTTATAGAAGATAATTATCATTCTAAATTTCCAAGGAGCATCCCACTGTTACGAGAAAATTAACTCGTCCTCGCATGTTCGAGCTTTCGACTGGTAGAACTGCGATCTTGCCCGCTGTACTTTGATTCGACGAGGCGCGCATGAGGAACGGGGGCGTGGGAAGCACTCGCGAACGGGGAATTACGGAATCGCGTACAACAAGAATATAAGAGGGAGCGGCGCGGTTCGGCCGCAGAGCCGGGAATAGCGCTGGATTGCGGACGCGAAAGTTCGTCGGTCGTAAAACGAGCTTAGAGCCCTCCGACCATCCACGGAGCTTTCTCCGTGACGTTAGAAACCAGTTCGGATGTAGCCGGACTGAAACCGGGGAGGGATGATGGCGGTGGAGCGGTGCGGGAGCTGACTGCGACATCGACTATCCGGTGGATAGTTTCGTTCGACGGTTTTCTTGGGTACACGGATGAAACAGATTGGCTGTGGATCATTTCAGGACGGAGGACAATGGAGGAGGAAGTTTGTTTGAACCGAGGCTTTTGAACTGGGTGACGGTGGATTTGTGTCTGGGCTCACCGGAAGAACGGAGGACTGAATTGCCGTGTTTCGGATGTCTGACTAGTACTCATTCTACTTTCGCATTAGGTAGTTTCACGTTTGTAGTGATTATAAATTGGAATACTCTTTTAACTCGACTGCCAAAAACAGCGCTTTACGTGCTGCTACCTTCGTAATAAAGATAAATAGGAATAATTATTAATTATCTGCTACCACAATATTTACGTTACAATATTATCTTATTTACGTTACTGAATTATTCGACTGTCTTATGAATTATAATTCTTTCCAATTTCGAAGCTCCGGTACGACAACAGTTAACCCTCTGCAGACGAAGATTCTTTGAAATGTACAAAACCTTCAACAGATGAAGCTAGATTATATATTAACTGCTTAAATAATAGCGATAACAGGAACTACATGCTAATCTCCTGCTGTCCAAGTAACTAAATCATTTGCCTGCGACTTAGTCTTCCCAATATGAACGTTTCATCTCGCCGAAATGTCGACATTCGTCCGCAAAGGGTTAAACAAATATATAGTGAACTCTTCAAAAATTATCAGAAACATCACTAGATAAGCGACATTGGTCAATTCTACTTGCTACTCAAAGACACTTCCGTTTCAGCAACTACAGGACAGAATTCCTCTTCAAAAGCTCATCAGTCCATTAGAAACACCGGCAATACTAATCCTACTCACATCCAAAACTACTCTGGCACTTTGAACTCTGCGCTAAAATCCCTATTCAAAAACCATCTCGAGCCGACTAAAAACGCCGCTCATCAAGAACGGCGTCAGGAATAAATGATTATTCGGCCGAGCAAGTTACAGCCTTCCCATGTTTAATTGAAGCAGCCCGCGACGACGGACGGTCTCAGGTCGCAGAGACCTGTCCACGGTTCCCTTCGAGCCCGTCTTCGGGGTTGGGACCGCGGCGGAATTGCAAAACACGCGGAACGTTCCGTCCTCGGCCACCGGGATCGAGAGCATCGGTTCCCCGCGGCAGGTTGACCCGGCATAAATATTCATTCCGCGTCGGAGATAAATATTCGCAGGATATCACGGGCGCCGGGCCGCTCTCGAATGAACCGGCCGACGCACCGCAATCAACGGACTTGTATTTCTCACGTGGCTCCGTGTAACCCGGCCAGTTACATCCTGTTCTCGCGCTTAGCCCTTTTGGCGCTACGGCCAAGTGTACATGTTCATCAGTGTCTACGGATAATATCCAGCTATCACCTCTAACGAAAGAGTCTGCCGTCAGGTTTGAGTAGATTACTGGAATACTATGTAATGTTTGTTATAATTGAAAGCCGACGCGGTGAAGTCTGGAAACGATGAATTGAGAGAATTAACCTTTGCACTTGGAAGTTTCTAGACATGTTTAATATTCTTTGACGGAGCAACGACGATAGTTGAAACTCGAAGGGAAATCACGAGTACATTGAGGAACAAAGATATTTTATTATAATATTTCACGTATCAAGGCATTACGAAGTTCAACATCAACCCTTAGCACTCCAGGTTGTTTTGTAATCTATCAGCAATTAATTTTTATAGTATTCCCAGCGAAAATGAGAAATGCTATAACATTTCTCCGATCGTTTATTTTCCTTCTTAGTACAAAATTTGGTTGTGCGGAGAATCTAATAATTTTAGGGTAGTTTCCTTAAGATTCATTAAAATATTATAACTGGTGCAATATCGGAGCCTACAGAGTTCAAAGGGTTAAATATCCGACTTTATAGTTTCACCGCGTCGAATCAAGCGACAGTCTCCCGTTAATGTTTCCAGAGTGCTGTCACGGTTCAATTTATTTTCAAATATCAACCTTCGTTGAACTTTTCCCTGCGTGATTTATCACGTTTATAGGATGCTCGGCGGAGCCTTGGGAAATTTCCTGGAATCGTTTCTTGGACATTTCTGAGAGTAACCGAGATATATCGTAGACACTAAATTTGTCCAACATAGACAGAGTTAATACGACGGCGGCGGTACGAGCGGACTCCTCGGTCGCAATAGGCTAATACTATTTGATTTCGAAACGAGAACAGGAACTGTGCCCCGTGACCCTTTTCGCGTGGTAGACCGAGCTACATCGACGCGGTCTGCTAATCGGCTGCGGCACGGCTCGCCGAATGCTTTTCTTCCGAGTTATAGCCCTTTAAGACCTGCCGGAACAACCGTAACGAGCCCCGGCCCATGTCGTTCCGATGGATAATGGGAAAGTTCGCCGGAACACTTCGGCAATCCCCTGTTTATGCAGGATCAGGTCCACGAATATCGCAACCCTGATTTATGCTGATATTATGGTATCGGGAGAGGAAGGGACTATCTACCGCGATAATTTAGAATTATTTGTCTGGTGCAATGCCTTGTAAATCCTGTGGTCGGACGCGCGCCGCTGTCTATTTAGCATAACAGTTGTTTTTCATCGTTTGAAGAATATTTGAAAAATCGTCTGTTAGAAGACTGTAAGCTACTTTAATGTATTTTGAAAATTATGGACATCGAAGTTGCTGTTGAACGATTGATACGATGGAATCAACTGTTTCAATTAACTGGAAGCTGTTGTTGAACAACTGTCTCAATTAACTGGAAGTTGCTAGTAGGCGGCCAGCTTCAGAGTAAACGATGGTGTTAATCAAAATGGTAATTTCAAGAGTCTCATCTTGAACACCGAGCTGTGCTTAAGGATTAATAATAAGGATTAGTAGAAGTAAGTAAGATTATGAAAGTGTGTTACCTAGGATCTTACCAAGCTTGGCTTTCATATCCGTCTTATCGGACGCCTTCCTTCCAGGCTTGCGTCCCCTCTTACCCCCCTCTTTCCGATCACCGCGAGATCCCTCCTGCAATCACACAAAATTACTGTTAATAGACACAGAATGTTTAATAACAAGTTTCTCGAACATTTCATTTTAACATTTAACGGTCCACTTCCAAAAAATACCGTGACACAGATAACAAGCAGAAACAGATTCGCTGAAGTGACCTAGCACAATGCTTAACGCGTTAATTGTAAATATTACAACAATAACTTTTACTTACTGTTAAGGGTTAAAAATTGAATTAACACTAGAACTACCGTACCAGTCAAAATGACTAGTTTCAATTTTTTTGCTTAGCAATTATTGATATCTTCGAAGCATTGAATATTCGAAATGATTTTGAAAATAGTTTCATTTCAGTACTATACTGAATGTCTGAAAAAACTGAAAATAATCTATTATTACAATTTTTATAGGAATTGCATGTTAGTCGTATTAAATGCTCGGTAGTTCTAGTGTTAAAGAATGTCTTATGAAATAAAATAAGAAACAACAATATCGATATGTCTTAACGCATGTTATGTGAGACCCAAGAAAATTGTCTCTTCTCTCATTGCCACCGAAACAAGCCAAAAGGTTGCACATCTATATATGCAAAATTGCACTGAAGAATGTCTTACAAAATAAAATAAGAAACGACATCATCAATGATACATCCTAACGCATGTTACACGCGACCCAAGACAACTATCCCTTTCCTCGTTGCCACCGAAACGAGCCGAAAGGTTGCACACCCATGTTCTACACGCCACCAGGAATCTCCGGATCTCGGAGTCGACAGCCGTCCGCACGCTAAGACCATCCGCGACGTTCATCCCCCTGGGAAAGGGATGACGCGAGTCCCCACGGCGACGTAACACCCGGCCGAATCCGTTGTTTCTTCCCGTTGCGCTGATTAATATCTCGACCGAGTTGGTTCGAGCTCGCGCGGAACAACAGCCGACGTTTTCAATGGGAACAAAAGCTTATCGAGTCACGGGGAACAGCCCGCCCGGGATCCGTTAAAAGCTTCGCGCGGGACTGCTTTCTATCAGGGCCGGCTGAGCGTTCGCAGCCATCAACGCCGGCGAATATACGACGACGGATAACCGCGCGTCGAATAACGCTCGCGGAAGATACGTCGAGACTCGCGGTCCTCGCTCAGCTGATCCCGTAACGGCGTGTTGCCGTCGCGTTCGTTAGCGCTCGTGCGTTCTAAGCATAGAGTGGATGAATCACGGAGACGTTCAGGCTTAGAGGAATTTTCATTCGCTCCGCGCAGAAGCTGCTGTTCATACTTGTAATTGACTCGGAGATCGTTGTCTTTAAACTAACAAGGAGAGAAAAACCCTCGTGGCTTCGACAACGGTTCTGTTTTCGAAAAACAATGAGTTTTCAGTTCGTATGCTACCGTAGCTTCAGAGGATTCGCGGAACGCAGTTTCAAAGCTTCAATAACAGTAGAAGCTTTTAAACTTACAGTTCTTAATGCCTGAAATTGAATATTTGACGAACCCGTCAAGCTAAAACACTACAATTTCAAATTCAATAACAGTGGAAGCTTTTAAACCTGATACCCCGATGCTTGAAACTGAATATTTCGCAGAGCCGCGAAACTAGGACCGCTTCAAAGATTCAATATCTCGAAGCGAGCCTTGAAACTTCGGAATAAGCAACCGCATAATGAACTATACAATTCCACTACTATTTATAGACATAAACTAGCCCCGTTCGCAGCGCGAATCGATATTCGAAAGAACACGATACTACCATCGCGATACTGCTATTTCCTAAAACTTCGAGCCAATCGCGCCGAGCAGTTCAACGTTATCCAACCACCTGCAACGGTAAGGTCCGAGCACGTAATATCCCTATCTCCGGTGCGCTCAGAGTCAACAGACACCGACGCAACTCGCCGGACTCCGGTAATACGGTAACGTTACAAATACGATTGTGCTCGGCGCTGCTGGCAAATGCTATTCCGCCTGTCATCCCATTACAACAAACTTCGCACGGAATCATCGAGCACGATCCGTTGGAAAAGTAACCGAAAAGAAGGCGGCGGAGATGCCGGGGCTAAATCCATAGGGGGATGATCGAAGAAACGATCTACTCGCACGGGAGGGAAAGAAAGCGGAGAAGCTCGTGGAACGTGGGCGTGTCCACGGGCGACCCCACACACGACCCGTTAAAATTTACACGTCCCTGGGGCACGGTTGTTACGGCGAGGCAGAGGCGGCCGCAGGCTTAGCTATGCATGTGCTCGCGGGTGACAAAATACAAATTCAGCCCCCTTTTAGGGAAGCTGTTTACCTTCGGCCCTATCCTTCCCTCTCAATCCTATCTGGTATTAAATCTCCTCGAATCCTCTTTCTTTCCCTCGGCCGCTTCCGACGTCTTTGCCCATCCCCCCTCTCTACCGCTCTCTCTCTCTCGCACTATCGCTGCATCTTACTCTATACAGAGTGCTTCCGAAATCGTGGCAGCAAGAGAATTATTCGAGTTGCTGAGAAGCCAAAGCGGTTAACACTGGAACTACCGTCAAAATGACTGCTTTCGATTTTTTTGTTTAGCAATTATTGATACCTTCGAAGCATTGAATATTCGAAATGATTCTGAAAATAGTTTCATTTCAGTACTATAATGAACGGCTGAGGAAACTGAGAATAATCTATTGTTACAATTTTTAGAGGAATTGCATGTTAATCGTATTAAATGCTCGGTTGG